CTGGGCCAGTTAAGTGCTGCTGGCTTTAAAGCTTGGTTTTGTGAGCAGATAGGTTGTCAAGAGGGCCTCCTTCAAGCCTATAACAATAACAATGAAAGCAATTGAAGGAGGCTAGATTTCTAAAGTGAAATGTTTTTAAAGTGTTTTCTTCTTTGTACAGCATATAGAGAAGGGGTTACAGTGCGCAAGGGGAATCCTTTGAAAGGCTTCAAGAAGCAATATTTATTCTGAGCTGAAAGTTCAAGAGAAACAGACAGGCTGAAATAGGTTAATCAGCAATCTTACATCCAAGGACTGTAGGGTTGGAGGGAATCAGAAGGATTGTAATGGGTGCATAGGCCTACTGCATTCCCCTCAATCAGATAACATTTTCTTCCCAAGCAAAACTCTGGTTTGTCTAACTACTGAAGCTTCACTTTTCATCGTTGTCCAGAATTCCTTACTACTTCCCCCTCCATCCTTCCCAACCCAGCATCCTCCCCCCTTTCACCTAGTGCTTTCTCCTTCTATGGAGCAACCTCTCTTCTTTAGTTGCTTTTCCATTCTGGAATCTTGAGATCTTCCGATTTACATATATGGTATGAATCTCTATGATAGACCACTGATAGTACAGCTGCTCCAGCTCTCTACTACTCTTGAATCTCAGTTGGGGGCAGGGAGGGAAGCAGGTTTTTCATTTTAAGTCCATTTTTCCTCTTGGAAGGCTGGAGGAGCTAATAATTAGCACAATAGGGGGAACTGTGTGCACAGATGTGTGTGTTCAGTTGAAAACAGAGCCACAATATGTATAATATGGTCACAAGATATCTTTTATCATATTATGTCAGTGCCTTATCAGGTGTAGTGACTCTTGGTTTGTTTCTGGACCAGTTCAGAGTGTTGTCCTTTATATCTAAATAGATTGGGGCCAAGTCACTTAAAAGATTAGCTTTTCCATCTGTGTATATCTACTGAGAATTTAAGATCCTCTTCAAAGGTCCTGCTCAAATGACGCAAGATGAGCGGCTACTATGGACAGGACATTCTTGGTGGTGGCAACCTGACTGTGGAATAGCCTCCTTAGAGTGGCTTGCTTGACAATTTATTTATGGTCTTTTTAGCAACAGATGTAATTTCTTTAATTGCCCAAGTCTTTAAAATAATTTGTGATTTTAAAATTTGGGCTCGGAGACTGATATATAATTGGTCTTATTTCTTTCTCTGTGGGTTAAAGTTTTTATGATGCTATTTATTTGTTTTGCTCTTTCATTTTTATTAATCAGTGTGACTCTTATTTCTTATAAGCTGCCCAAGAACTTATGCCATTGGTGGTCTATAAAAGTACAGTAACTAATAAGGGCAGTACATGGGGTTGTATATCTTTTATCCAGAAATTGGTTTGGCCTCAGAAACAGAACTTTATCAGGACCCTTCAGAGAATTTTCACTCCATAAACATCTGGATATTTTTAAAAAAACCTAATCGGAAACTGCATAAAGCCAGAGGACAGCCACCTGTTAGCAAGCTCCTTTCCTTTCCCACAGGAAAATGTAAAGCAGCTGCAACATGATCACTCAGCCCCTTCTTCCAATCCTTCCCTCACCTGTCAAATATTCCTAACCACTGGCTCACTGGTGGTGAGGTAACCCTATCTCAGCAAGGGTTAAATCTGCTCTCAGTCTAGTGCACTCTCTATTTCACCCTAATCAGCACCTGCAATTGAAAATTCATTGAATTCCTCTGCCATGCAATCCTTGTCTGGACAATGTCATTTGCACACATTACAAGGCTGAATTCTTTGGGGAAATGGGGTTATCAAGCAGTGAATTGCAAGGGTTGCAGAGGTTGCCAGAAGCTGCATCTAGGAGACTGGCTCGTTTATTTGCTGACTGAAGATAAATAAATGGTTTATGCATGTGACACCAACAGTATATGTGGCCCCCAAAATCCCTGTAGTAAACACAAACCCTCCTGCTCAAACAGCAGGCAAGAATATGTTACCATTCCTAAAATAGGCAACTTAGGTTGCAATGCAAACTACACTTACAAAGGAATGTTTAATTTAACAAAGTTGGGGTTACCTCTTAATAAACATGCTTAAGATTGCACAGGATTCACCTGGGTGCTTTTTGACCATCACAAAGAGACAGTAATTTATTCACTTGGCTCATATTGAAATCCATGCAGACCCATATCATGCAAAGGATTCAACATGCATTTAGCTTCCTGGACATACAGATTTAGAAAAACTATTTTTTAAGTTTGCTAAATATAGTAAAGTGGTATATAGTGGTACCTCGGGTTAAGTACTTAATTCGTTCCGGAGGTCCGTTCTTAACCTGAAACTGTTCTTAACCTGAAGCACCACTTAGGGCCTCCTGCTGCTGCCGCGCTGCCGGAGCACAATTTCTGTTCTCATCCTGAAGCAAAGTTCTTAACCCGAGGTAATATTTCTGGGTTAGCGGAGTCTGTAACCTGAAGCGTATGTAACCAGAAGTGTATGTAACCCGAGGTACCACTGTACACTTGTCATGCCTTTTCAATTAGCCAGTGTAGCATTTGCAAGCACATAACTTAACTGATATACACAAATGAATGATACATATTTACAGTAAAAGAAGGGTGTTGGGAACCTAATTTCTGGGGGGGGGGGGAATCCACGTGCCTACTGTGTGTCAACTTGTCTTGTTTCTAAGAAGCTAGTGGAGCATAGAGCATTATGAGGGATACAGTCTAATAATATTGAGAACTAGTAAAAGGAAAAGCAACGTGGCAGTTCAGGGGTGTACCTTTGTGACTATAATGGAAATGCTTTGCAATTTAAGGGGTGTTTGTGTGATTATTATGGAGCTGACCCTACCCCCCAAATCGCATAGCTTTCTCTCTCTCTGTCTCCAAAGTCAACGTACTGAGCATGGACATCTGCAACAGGGAATGTTTATGTGCATAGACAACTGTGTGCATAGGCTTCAATGTGAACCTTGTGCGGTTAGGGCTCTACTTCTGAGGAAATCTATACAAAAGGAGGTCTGCATGTATAGGTTTTCCTCCTGCAGATGTCCAGTCAAATCAGTGTAGACAACAGCTCAGTCGGTAGAGCATGATACTCTTAATCTCAAGGTCATGGGCTCAAGCCCCACACTGGGCAAAAGGATTCCCTTGTGGTCCCTTCCAACTGTACAATTCTATGAATCTATGAAATCATGGATGGATGAGTGGAGCTAGGCAGAACAAGCGAGTGATGCAGCTTCACTCCCTGGTAATTACAGGAAGACCCTTCATACATCTAACATGTGGAGGGGCTTTATGTTGAGGATATACATGCAGTCAAACAGCATTTCTGATATTCAGTTTCAAGCAGTATTATGTTTTTATTGGGAAGAACAACACAGTTTTACTTTTTCTCTCTTTTATTTCTATGCTTGTGGGCATGTGGACATAACCACAGGATAAGAGCTGAATTCTCCTGAGTACCCCTCCCTCCTGACAAGCCAATGGAGATGATGGCATTTGTGACATGGACAGGAGCAGTACCCACCACCAGTCTTACTGCAAAGGAAAGCCACCACATGGCTGTGTAATGGACTAAATTTAAGACAAACTGAAAAGGACTTCTGAAGGAGCAAGTGCTGAGGAAATCTGTTCTGTTTTAGGATATGCAGTAATACCTCCGCGAACATCTGCCTAGTCTAGCGTCCATTCCAGCGAACATCCATGGCAAACCCGGAAGTACCAGAATGGGTTACTCTGGGTTTGCAGCTCGCGCATGCGCAGAAGCATTAAACTGCGCATGCACAGAAGCGCAAACCGCTCCGCATGCGTGTGCAGACATGGCGCTTTGCCCTGCGCCCTTTTTGGCTAGTGGCCGGGGCTCCAGAACAGATCCCGGCCGCAAAACAAGGTACGACTATACTACACACCGAAAAATCAAACAATTTATAGAATTCATGGCCATGAGGGATTGACAATATCCTTTGAAATGATCTGAAAATTGTAGACCTGATAAAAATCACAAGACCTTCCTACCTTAAATGCCAAGCATCTGGTTGAGCAAGAGTCAATCTCCCACCCTTTTTGATGAATAATTAGAAAAGTTACTAAGTAGGAGGTTGAATGGTAAATGAAAGTAAATGAATGGAAGTGTCAATTGAAAAAATGACAAAGCAGATAGGATTACTAGGACAGCACATCTGCCCTTAGGAATGCTGTTCCACCACCTAGGGCTAATACAGTTCCATTCCAATACACACATTTCTTGTGTATCACTCCAGACTCAGATAAGCGGATGGGCTTGGCTGAGTATTCAAACTTGGTGATCTGCAATGCAACATAATTAACCAGTTTCTGGCTTATGCAACCTTTGCGAGTTTCATCAACACTGAATTGCATGGCATGACAAATTATTTCCTCAATTATTTGCTCAAAAGTCACAGATTGGCTCTGTGGCAGAGCAGGGAACTGAGCCCAGATCTTCACAGTATGGAGACAGTGACATATGAAATGGGCCAGTCTCTCTAAATTGAGCTGTAGCAGAGCTTTGTATGTGTGAATTGGTGGAAAACCAATTGCCCATGCAGCCTGATATCTCGGGACATTTGTTCTGACTATCGCTCTACCCAGCTGCATGATCTGCAGCCCGTGGCAGATTTCACCCCCACACTCCTCTGTCACATTTCAGCCCTCCGCTTCTGACAGGGCAGCTACTACACTGGCCTCGGTATCCTTAGCGCTGGGAGCTCAGCTCCTCTGCATATGCTGTCTGTCTTGTGAACATGGCTGGCATTTTTAATTTAGTCAATTTTCAGCTCTGCTTGTTCCTGTGAGATGTGTGTCAGGGCTGTTTTCCCTTTTAATACGTGAACACATTGAGCCGTTCTGATTTATCATAAGAATGTGACTCTCTCTGCCTGTCTTGTTAGAGGAGATACAGAGGAATTAAATTTCTGTGGGGTTTGTTTTTTTTGCTTTGTTTTCCGCTCAGCTGATTTCTGTGGGCTGAATTCTAGGCTTTACTTGCTTACCTGATAATGAATCAAGGTGTTTAGCCGCTTCCAGTCACCCTCAATCTTGGTGGTGATATCTTCATCCTGAAGGACCACACGTGCTATTCGGCCTTGCCGCCACTCTGCAGGAGAAGGAAGACAATGTTAGACAATCAAGGACAGAGGCACAGTTATCTCATTGGTAGGATGGTTCTCTGCAATGCTAACCTCCAAGAAAGGGAAGGATGGGTTAAATTATTCTTCTATTGATTCCTTGCTGTGGTGCCAGTGTGGTGTAGTGGTTAAGAGCGGTAGATCGCCTAATCTGGGGAACCGGTTCGCGTCTCCGCTCCTCACATGCAGCTGCTGGTGACTTGGCAGTACATTCTGAGTCTCTCAGCCCATCACCTCACGATGGTGTGAGAGGAGGAGATGTTGCGCTTGAGACTCTTAAGGAGTGAAGGCGGATTCAAATCAACTTTCTCTTCTTCTGTGTAACTGCTGTTCCCACCCCATTTCCATAAGTAGCTCTTTCCCAAACCAAGTATGTTCTTACCCAAGTCCATGTCAACAGCTCGTGGCCTTTGTGAGTATGGGACATTTTTATACACTGCATCCAGAATCTTCTCTTTGACCTGAGTGATGGTGTCACAGTTCAACACTTTCACGGGAATCTCAGGGCTGTTCTCATTGTCTGGATTCACACAGTTCAAGATCTAGAGAAGAGAAAAGAATGGGAATATTAAGATGAACTTAGAAAAGCTAAGAAGAAATCATCTGCATATTACAGGAATTCTCAACCCAAGTTGGAGGTATAAAAATGCCTGTTCACAATTAAGTCCTATTTAGACGGGGAAGCTAAACTGATTAAAAAAAAAAAAAGATTTTCCATTTCATAGAAAGCATGTGGAGACCTAGATTTGTAAGTATGCAGAGATGTAGTCTACATAATTAGACAATTGCGTACATACAATTACTGTAGCTCTCTCTGTCCCTTGGGAAGGTGGATAAAATTTGTGCATGGATGATGCCCACGGGTGATATACATAATGCTTTGGAAAGCCTGGTTCATCCCTTCAGATTACGGATGGATGGCTTGCTCTTTGTCCAGTTTAAGCATATTTTATTTTTAGACACTAACAGATTAACTCTGTCCTGTTTTTGCAGTTTAATGTGCAGGTTTTTGGGGTGTTTTTTTTAACACAAATCTACACCAATGTAGTTAAAAACAGGAACTAATGAGGTGGTCTAGAGCAGGGGTGCCCAAACGTTTTTCAAAGAGGGCCAGTTTTGATGAAGTGAACATGCATGAGGGCCGACTGAAGTTGCTGAGCTTTTTAAAGGATTTTACCCCAGGAAATGGGGCCCGGATTAAATCGACTGGTGGGCCATATTAGGCCCCCAAAACGGACTTTGGACATGCCTGGTCTAGGGGCTTTACAATCTTTCCCCTCTTTTCTCCAACAGGACCTAGCCACCTGGAACTGCTAAGAAGTGTGACTGGCTCCACACAGACAGAAAACAAGGTGGCAAATGCCTCCTGGCAATATTGGTGTTGGGATATGATGCCCTGCCTAGGGATATTGTCTGAGGAAAAACGTGATTGTCACTTTGAACCCATGGTATTCACTATGTCCCCCCCCCAATACATTTGTCCAATGTCCTTCCCAGGGACAATGTATACATTGGTCCAAGAGTTTTGTACAGGTGAGTCCACACTGGGATGTGATTCCCCCCTCCAATATTCCTTCCCCATTTGTAATTCAACTGTACCTATACTATACTATACTATACTATACTATAGGATGAGTCCTTTAAAAGAGGCCCCATGGATACAGAGTACACATATTCCACGGGGCCTCTTTTAAAAAACTCACCTGTATCATGGAACATCAGCCACAATTCTGAAAATGAGGGTTGGAACTAGCTGAGATGGCTAACTGCCTATTTCCACCCTATGTGGAATCTTTAAGCATTTTCCCTACCATTAAAAACAATGGGCTGGCTTAAAAGTAAAAGTATTAGGTTTGTATTACTATTCACTAAGGTGCCTGGGCTTCACATCTTTTCTCAGGAAGCTTCTCTGCTTGGATATGGACCCAGAGTTTCCACAATAAGAATCACCATGAAAACATTCTATTATATAAAGCACCTGGGACAGGAAAAAATTGCCACCTAACTTCCCCATTCAATCTATGTCCAGCCCTGGGGATTATGTTCCCCATAATGGCTGATGGCTGGTGCAACCAAAAATTGTTCAGAGAAGGCACCCACTCACTAGAGTTTTGTACTCAATCTGCTGCCGGATCAGCTTGTCCTCACTCAGGGAATAACGTGCCTCCCCCGTAATGGCATCAATTGGGCCTTTCTCCATCTGTTGCTTGATGGCACAGTACAACATGAAGAGTGGCTCTCCAGCACATTCCTGTTTGACACAGAACACAAGAGAACTTGCACACTGATAAAGATAGAACTTGTCAAAGGCAGAGAAACCATGGCAAACAAGTATAATTTAAAAGCTGCTACACAACCCTCCTGATTTTTTAAATTCATTGAGCTTCACAAGCAATGTTGGCTGATTTGAGTTTGCATGGTTTTGGTTTCTAAAGATTACAGGATGTGTTGCAAAAATATGTAACCAGAAAGGATGTGTCCTTGTTTTATGCACCATTTAGTAAGGAAAACACAAACATTGGCTTTTACACCTAACATGTATACTGGTCAGTTTCATTATAGGTGTTATATGATGTCAAGTGACTGACAATGGGGTGATCCTGCCCATCTGCCAAAATGACCCATGGAGGGTTGGCCGCATTTGCAGCCAAGACTCCGGCTAGATCCAATTCCCTGCCCTAGAGATAAGTTCATAATACTGCTCAATTTACTGGGGATGTACCTCACTAAATAGTGTTCAAAACACGTGTGCTTTCAATTTGGTCAGCATTAATAGTAAAGCAATAAAATAAAGCATTAAATATGAAACATTCACAACTAAAGTATCTAAATAAACCAGAAATTCAAGAAAAAGAAGTCACATAATATCTCCCTTGTTACATTCAATCAACTACAAAGACACTTTTCTTTTTATGTTATTACAAAAATCCACCCACTCCTCTCTGATCCCTTGGCTAAAACTCTGATTCATTCTGTGGTAATCTCCAGCCTTGACTACTGCAACATTCTCATCTTTGGCTTCCTCCTTTTATATCTAAGTTTTCTCACATTGCTCCAAAACTCTGCTACCAAAATTATTATTCTGTCTCAACCCACATGATGCAGAAGCTCAGGAAAGCTCAGTCAGTAAAGCACGAGACTCTTAATCTCAAGGTCATTGGTTCAAGCCCCACGTTGGGCAAAATATTCCTGCATCACAGGGGGTTGGACTAGATGACCCTCCTGGTCCCTTCCAACTCTATAATTCTACAATTCCATGACACCACTCTTCAAATCCATCCACTAGATGTGCAACTGCATTTGCCCATATTCAACCCTTTGTATTATTGCCTCCCCCCACCCCACTTTATTTTTGATTGCAAGCTCCTGAAGAGCAGGTACCTCGTTAATTTTACCTATAGGACTCTAGAAGTCATCAAGTATATAGATGGTGCTGTGTAAACAATAATTACGATCAGTGCTATTTTTCTAGTAAAAGAGGTGCTGGAGGTCACCAAGAACTTCTCCCTTGTTCTCTTAGAATGGCAATGGCGCCCATCTGAGAGGTGCCAGAACTGAGCTCCAGTGAGCTTCGGCTGGGAAAAAAGCCCTGATCACAATCATCAAATGTATAAAATGGGGAATAACTGTCTATTGGACTGCATTATAAAACACCACAAGATCAAACAGGCGCCAACATCTGTAGCCATCTGAAGTAGCCATAAACTGTATTCAATGTCTAAAATAAAATATGAATATCCAGCTCTTGATAATGCATTAGATACAGTATAGGAGAATGGGGAACTGAACTGCATTGGCTTGAGACCAGTAGAGTATTTCGTCTTCCTACTCTTTTCTCTTTTAATCTGTTGTATCTGTGCCTTGATTTCCCTCTGCTGAGTACACATGTGTGACATTTCAGATTTGTAATGTAATCTAGAAAGTCATGTGCTAAGGGAACCAGGATAGAACACACCTGTACGACAATCCTAAATCATCCTGACTTCCCCCATGTGAGTCTAGGGCAGGGGTCTGCAACCCGCGGCTCCGGAGCCGCATGTGGCTCTTTTATATCTTTGCCGCGGCTCCGGGGCGGATACTAGCGAGGGGAGGAGGCGCATTGTGCGCCCCCACACTCCTCACTGTGGCGGGCGCTGTACTGGCTGTGACGTCGCATGGGGGCGGTGCGTGCGTTAGTCACGCACCGTCCCGACGTCACCTTCCCGCTTGCTGTCAGATCGCGGCTCTGGAGATATATTTGTTTTAAATGTCGCAATGGTTTTGCTGCTCCCAGTTGTTGTTTTTTCTTCGGAAACGGGTCCAAGTGGCTCTTTTTGTCTTAAAGGTTGCAGACCCCTGGTCTAGGGAAAGTGCTGAGAATTATTTTGCAGAATTATGGCCTTTTCAAATAGTAACAGTTCCCAGAATGCATAGCAGAGTGTAGTGAGGGCAAAAACCTATTCACATTAGTGTTTCCCAACCTTGGGCCTCCAGCTGTTTTTGAACTACAATTCCCATCAAGCCTGACCACTGGTCTTGCTAGCTAAGCTGCATTTTGTACACAGGACTGGGCGGTCTCTACACTTTCCTCCTATTACTCCCTGTCTCTGGGTTTAACTTCCTCCAGCCACTTGAAGAGTTAATACAAAGCTTACATGCAGATTAGACAATGTCTGGTCTTTATTGAGCTTTTGATCTGATTTGTGATACTACAATGAGAATTCATCCTGATTTGCTTATGTGGTGATTTTACACCTTCCTATTAATTATTTGTCCATCCCACACTTCTAGTGCATTTCCCCATTACTTTCCTAACTTCATAAAGTCTGGTTTTTGTGTGCGCTAGGGTTACAAAGCACTTTAATCCCTTTAATTATGGAAACCTACATTTCTGGCTTAAGCTTGCATCCTTACTGCAAAATACTGATGCTCTGGAGGTGACCACAGAAAACAAGAACTTGCAAAGAACATAACAAAGGAAATAGATTCAGGGTAGAAGCAGCTGACTCTTTACCTTTAGGAATTTGTGGAGAAGGAAAGCAAACCAATTAGTCAACATCTTCTCAGCCACTGACTCAGTCCTGGGAAGAGATTAGAAGGAGTTTTATTAAGCCCACATCAAAATAAAAAAAATGAATAGATCATCATAATTTAATTTGTATGTTGCCTTTAGATGGCTAGAACCATGCTGAAGGCTGCTTGAAACATGAAAAGATTTACACAATTGCAAACATAACAAAAGTAGTCATAAATAAAATACACCAAAAAGCACACAACCATAATTGAAAAATTCCAACAAGTCCCACAGAAATCATTCTAAGATCAAAAAATGAAGATACAAAATATTAATATCAATAACAGCTGCAACAACCAAACCACCTAAACAATACCACAACCCAAAAGTAAGGACTAGTTTAACTTCTCCCTCCCTCCTAAATTAAGCACAGTAGCTTTTTATGTGAACAGCCCTGAGACCTCCGGGTATAGGGAAGTATATAAATTCAATCAATCAATCAATCAAAAATATATGATTGCAAAGACTCCTCCCTTTACAATCTTTTTCTTCGCAGAACCAGGGGATTAGTGCCAGGGCACCAATGCAATAGAAAAATGTGGCATTTCATCACACAATATAATTGTGTATCTGTATTTTTTTTATTTTTAGATTTTTTCTGCTTTTTGATGAAATAATGGACAAAAGGCACAGCAGCAGACAATACGCTAAGTAACAGAAAGCCATCTGCTGCAAGAAAAATAGTTCAAACAAAGATAAACATAAACTCCACAATGTACTCTGAGGGCAAAACTAAACGAGAACTACAGTAGGGATCTATTGCAATACTCATTGCTGCATATGCTATGTGCTAATATCTATCAAGCTGTGAACTACAATGTTTCAGTGTTCCTTTCAGTGGAACATGCAGCCTTATCTTACTACAAAGCAAGTTGGAACCCCAATTTATTGTGAGAAGGGATACTGCCTTGGTCACAACTAACAATTGCTGGGCGAGGGACACTCTGTTTTCCTAATACTGTACCTGCTATGTGAACAACAGCAACCAAAGAGTTAAATAGCCCTTTTAAGTTTGGAAGTAGGAAAATGGTACGCTGAGCTTTTTAAGGCCACCACACCTCTCCTGACTGCATCAGAAACAGCAAGTATGCATTCATTTGTCCAAGCAGCAGATGATGTTCTTGGGGCTCACGATACAGAGAATGTGTGTCCTAATAGCTGTGGAATTCAAAGTTCTGTCATTGGGTGGCCTTTGGGTAAGACATACTCTCCCAACCTAGCTTACCTGACAAGACTTGCTGTGGGGCTAAAACAGCCTTCCCCAACCTGTTGCGTCCTAGATATTCCACACTACGACAACTATTGGCCCAAGCCAGCACAACTGATAGCTGTTGTATAACCCAAAGCATCTTGTGGTCAATAGGCTGGGGAAGGCTGAACTGAAATGCCACAGGGAGCTCCTTGGTGGAAGGGTGGGAGCCAATGGAATACCTATAATAATAGTAATTGTTAGGAAATGTCAGTTTCCCGCCTTCAGGGTGTCTGAAAATGTGATTGCAATGCATTCCAGCAGAAAGTGGGGGAGGGGGGGTTGAAGGAACAAGAAAAATTGACTTTAATGCCATCGTTTATGAATGCTGGAAGGTCCCACTCTTGATTTTTGATCAATTGGAATTGGAAAGTCAATCTGAAGCTTTTGTCCCTTCCTCTGCCCCTCCCACATTTTCAGCAAGAAGTAAATGCAGATTGCTCATGAACTGAAAGTAACAAAGCCCAGCTGACAGCCCATCACAGCAGCCCCTCTGAAGGGGATGCCTGGTGGAGCTGTAACTCCTCACACTTGGTGCAAATTATACCCTGTAGCTCAGTAAATCACTGGAATTTGTGGCTGGTGGCAATCAAGGACAGCAGAGTGACAATGGCAGGGGAAATTGCAGCTTTTCTCAAGGGCCACACCCAGCAACAGCTCCTCACATTGTGTCCAAGATTATCTCTAATTTAAATACAATGGTTCTTAATGATAGTTTTTAATGCTGGCACGGCAGGATTGCCTTGATTCCTCTTTAAAAGTGATACAGCCTCTGTTCCTGGGAAATGGGGAAGATTTTGAAAGATGCATCAATGAAAGGAGTAGAGTTCCTGTTCTCACTACGTGCTGAGCCAGGGTGTTCATAGAGCAGCTGTAGACGAGCTACTTAATTTATTACCAGCTGTGCCAGCCGAAAACATGCTGCAAATGAATCTTTTCCAAGGCAGGATGATATCCTTTATAAGTGGAACATCTATAGACTTTCTTCCATAGGACACTGATCAGTGGCAATGTTTAACCGTCTGACTTTCCCACCAGCAACGAACAGCACTGCTATGCATCATTCAGCTGCACGTTGTCCTAAAATTATATGCTAGGGTGCATCTTTCTCAAATGACAATGAAGTATACAGTGCTTTAGTAAGAATCCGTTTTTGGCAGAGTAACTGGTCACCAGAGATCCAGTAAACACTTTTCCCTACCTTACAACTGGTACAGACATTTTTCAAATAGTTTCAGGCATGACTCTTTGCTACTTGATGAGTGAAGGTGATATTCTAAAGATTTTTTCTTTATATAGAAAAAGGAGGGGCTATTGCTCAGCAGTGTTGAATGCTGCATTCCTGCTGACATCTCTGTTTATAAGATTTCTGGTAGGAGGGCTTGGAAAATATGTGACAAAGATCACTTCAAATATTTTTCTTGACGGTGTGGTTAATCTTCCTAGTTTACTAATGTTAGGGAATCTCCCATGTTGTACAGATCAAAGTTTAAATAATATCTGGTTCTGCTGTACTTATACAAGCCAACAAATTCTGGGGTATGGAAACTTATTCCTATAAGCAGTGCTAAAATTCTACCTGTCTCTCAATCCAAACACTCACACACACACACACACACACACACACACACAGAGAGAGAGAGAGAGAGAGAGAGAGAGAGAGAGAGAGAATTGGGTTTTCATAGAATACCAACTATTTTAGGAAAGGAAGTATGCTGCGGATAGAGTGGCAGAAGACAGCATAGAACTAGGAACAGAAATTCGTCTAAAGCAATTATGATTACAAACTTGCTTTTGAAAAAAATGAAAACCAGGAATCAGAGTCCGCATTCTGTGTCAGATTCCATATAAAGACCATATTGTGATATACTATATGAAATTGAAGGTCAATATGTTTTTATGTATCCTGTCTGCTCCTCATTCCACTCATTCCAGGAATAGTGTTGATATGGAATATGTTATTGTTTCTCTTTGCCAACAATTCACAGACCCTCAGAACAAATATTAACTATAGCTTTGCAGCTCCATCTATTTTTGTATGTTTGGTTTTTTACTCCATAGACAGATACATGTATAAAATGTGTATGGAACTGTGAAGACAAAAGATTTCCACATCACAAATAGTTGTTATTTAATGAGAGGAAAGTACCTTGCTAATGCCTTCTTTAAAAAAATAAAAATGCTTCTGATAACGAGAAAAATAATACTTAACTTCTATGAAACACCTTGAATAAACAAGCAGCCAACAGTAAACAAATATACCAGTCCATTGAAAAAAATATGTATCCAGATCATTAGGCAAATGCTCTAAAAAGCCATACAGAGAGAAAGTTGTGACAATCCTGATAATGGCCGCTTACCGTCCTATCCGCGGTGAGTGGCAGCTGCGACCTGGTGCAGTTCTCTCACCTTGCACCGCTTTGTCTTGCAGCCTCCCTGGCCACCACAGAGACTCTCGGGTTCCTGCCAAAAGCTGGAGTCAAATGAGGCAATCTGTGGTGTCCAGGGTGTGTGGCCTGGTGAGCGGACCTGAGGGAGGCAGGCTTCCCTCAGATCCACCCGCCATCTATTTAGCCTGGCCAACCCTGCACGTGGCAGTCCAGTTGACCAGGAGCATCACCCACCCTGCCCCCCTCCTTTCATTAGTAGCTGCTTTTTGCTAACTCATTGCTGTGGTCTGTTGACGGTTGCCATATTTGGGGCCAGGGAGGAATATTCCCTGCATGGCAGGTTTTGCCTTCCCCACAGCACTAGGCACAACTTTGGCAGTTTAGGTTTAGGTCTTGGAAGGAATCCTATAGTATTTCATCCAAGCGGGGGTGGGTGGGGGTGAAGTGGTGACTCATCCCTCTCTTTTTCTCCCTGCGGCGGCACTAATAGCGTACCCCATTACAGGAGTCTGGAGGGAAGTCTCTGTCCAAAAAGTCAGTTGTGTGGGCTAGCGGGCCATAGAGCTCCCCTCAGCATTTGGGAACCATCCACATAAACCTGTGTTTTGCGATGGATCCACCCCTGAATCCCTCATGCCTCAGTCCTCCCAGCAGGGTGGGGCTGAGAGGGATATATGCTTAATGCCTATGCCAAGGCTTCCTACATCTGAAATCAATAAAGATGCGGCCATTTCAAATCCCAGACAGTTGTCATGTCCACTTATTAACCCTCTTTACTGATTGGGATGCGGGTGGCGCTGTGGGTAAAAAGCCTCAGCGCCTAGGGCTTGCCAATCGAAAGGTCGGCGGTTCGAATCCCCGCAGCGGGGTGCGCTCCCGTCGTTCGGTCCCAGCGCCTGCCAACCTAGCAGTTCGAAAGCACCCCCGGGTGCAAGTAGATAAATAGGGACCGCTTTCTAGCGGGAAGGTAAACAGCGTTTTCGTGTGCAGCTCTGGCTCACCAGAGCAGCGATGTCACGCTGGCCACGTGACCCGGAAGTGTCTTCGGACAGCGCTGGCCCCTGGCCTCTTGAGTGAGATGGGCGCACAACCCCAGAGTCTGGCAAGACTGGCCCGTACGGGCAGGGGTACCTTTACCTTTACCTTTACTTACTGATTGGGCACACCAGAATGGGGGCTCTATGACTAGACACGCAACAGTTCGAACCATTAGGTCCCAAACAAGCAAATAATCTGCATCTTTATCCCAACTGTTTATTCAACAATTTTGAGTTTGAACAGAGGCACAGGGGGAGGGGAGGTTTTAAGCTTTCTCCAATTTGATCATACCACATCTCATCTTGTGACTTTACACTGTTTTTGTTTTTC